CAGCCAAGGGTGATTCAGGCTCTTCTTGGTGTTTTTTTAATCATTGGCCCTTTGGTGGAGAAGGAGGTGGTAGCTCTCACTCAGTAAGTGAAGTTGCATGAAGTGTGGGTGTAGTTGTGTCTTATGGGGACTGTTGCTGTCTCCCACTCAGACAAAAATTACAATTGAATAACCATCAAAACACTAAAAGCACATGGACAAAAAACACACCATGTAATCATACAGGAACAGTAACCAAAAAAATAAAAAAGGGAAAAGGAAGAAGAAGAAAAAAAAGAAAACCTGCAATATCTGGGGATAGGGCAGTAAGAGAAAAAAGGTAGAGAAGGAGGATAATGAAGAAAAAAAAGGGAAACATGCAAAAAAGAAAAACAAGGAATGGGGTTAGCCATGAGGAAAAAAGGAGGAAAAATTTTTAATGTAAAAAAAAATTTTTTTTCAACCAAGAACAGGGCAGGGAAAAGAAAAAAAGCTGAAAACTCGGACCTGGGAGAGGAAGAATAAGGAGTAATAGTAAAAGGGACAAAAGTATTAATAATAATAATAGTTTTAAAACAGACAAATACAAGCAAAATAAACACCAGACAAAAGAAAAAAAAAGAGAGAAAAAAAATTGGTGGAAGACAGGGGAGGTCACCTAGGCTCTGTCTGAGTACAAAGACTGCAATGGAGTTCCTGCGGGCCCAGAAGGTTTGTGGGAGTGGAGGATGGCCACACCTCCATTCACCAAGCGGGTGTGGGGTCTAAGAGTAACAAGAGGAATGTTGCATCTTTTCAGTCGTGCAGGTCCAGAGTGTCCTTGGGGTCACTGGCAAGCAGAACCTGTTCTTAAGCCCCTGGAATCTTGGAGAATGCTGTCTCTTTAAATATCCAAAATGGTCAAGCTGCTTATTAACATTCAAAATGGTGGTGCCCTCCAGACAGGCAAAAGTCCACAGCTCAGCCTGCCTTTCTCTTTGCCTTCTCTGTTTATTCCTCAGTCACCAGAGCAGTCCTCTGTGCAGTCCCTGGCTAGCAGGGCTGATTTTTAGGTTAATTCTTAGGTCCTACCGCCACTCAGCACTCTCCAAGCTGTCTGTGCCGTCAGGATCACTCAGGGTCGCTCCCAGACCGCAGCTCCATATGTCTCCTTTTTTGGTGTTTTCATGCAAATTTTTCTGCTAGTTGCGGTTTAGTCTACTTCTGTATCCTTCCCTTCAAGGCTTAGGGGTCCAGGATTATCTTCTGTGTCTGTGTTAATTGGTTTCCCTTTTCTTTCTTGAAGAGGGTCTATGCAGTCTTTCTGCCTAGTCCACCATCTTACCGGAACTCTATCTACATTTAGTTTTAATGTCTCCTTAGGTTTGTCTTAGCTGAAATAGTTTCTCAAACTTTTTTATTTTATTTATTTTTAATTTTATTATTGTTATTGTTGAGAATATACACAGCAAAACATGAACCAATTCAACAGCTTCTACATGTACAGTTTGATCACACTGATTATATTCTTCAAGTTGTGCAACTATTCTCACTCTCCTTTTTTGAGTTGTTCTTCCCCCATTACCATAAACTCACTCCCCTAAGGTTCCTATCTAATGTTTCTAGTTGTTTTTGTCAATTTGATCCCTTTAAAAAAAAGCATAGTGTTCAAAAACTCAAAATCATTTGGAAAAAAAATAAAAGCGGGGAACAGGTTTACTGGCCCGATGGAGCCTGGTGGAACCACTGAGACTATGGCCCCTAGCTGCCCTTCAGGTCTGGAATTGAACACACAC